CCGTTTCTTATTATTAAATAAAAATAGTCCCACCACGACATTTGAACTACAATTATTTAGAGAGAGCTAAAAAAGTTATTTTTATTTACGAGATTCACCGAGGTAATTTAGGAAAATTGAAAATTAAGCTAAAGTGGACGAATATCTTTGGATGATGTTTTCTCGGAAACGGCTGCTCCAATCGAGATCAAACAAGTATTCCTTTTTGACGTAGTTTTCAATGTAGAATGTAAAAAAAAATATGGATAAGTCATTACCAAAAACACAAAAAAGTTATGAATAATCAAAATTTTCAAAAAATTCCCAAGTACACCCCTGACGAAATAATTTCTTTTTGAAGGTGTAAAAAGGTCACTATTATTGATCATATTTAACAGCCAAAATTTGGTTCTTTTATTTGTTTCCATTTTTAAGAAAGTTCAAAAAATCAAAATAAAAAAAATGATTTCGAGAGGCTGTTGCTCGCTTAGGGGGCACTTTAGGACATAGGTCTATAGGAACTTTTTTTCCATTTTTTGGTTAAGGAATCTGCCTGAGAATTTTGGGACACATTTTAAAGGACACCCTGTATATTGTCTTTTTAATTAATTGAACGGGTAAATGAAGATTTTCATAGGAAAATAGAACCTGTATTCATTAAAACCTCTACCTTATTGGGCTTTCGTTGAGCCACACTGTAATATTATATAATTGTTATACTATTTGATTTATTGTAATAATTTTGGCAGATATAACACAACACAAAATATGTTTAGTTGCAATAATATCCAATTAATTCGATTATATTTTAAAATAATATAAATCTTTAATTATTATTTGAAGTGTTCTCGAAAACAGAAATATAAAAGCTATTTTATCTTTTATTGCTACCGTTTATATAAATTATATCGGCGAAGATGAAAGGATGTATATAAATGTCTCGATACCTCTTATCTAAAAATATGTTGACTACTATAACAAAGAACTGATAAGGCGGCACTTTCATGTTTTCCCGATTATATATATTTCATATTGGATACTTTGCAATTTTTTATTATTTGAAGAGATTCATGACTGTTGTATTGCGGGATTAAAGAAATTTGTTGCAGTCTGGAATATTATCTTTCTGTCAACACTGACATTTTATTACAATTTTTATGCCTTGTTTGTATACTTAAATTCTGCAAACTTTACGTTATTTCTTTTCAAGAAAGAAAATATTAGAAGGCTAAGAATTGGACACACGAGATTGACTTTATCGATTTAAATGCTGCATTTGATTGTGTTGACCTTAGAATATTAATTAATAGTATGGTGGCATAGCTATTGATTTAGTAGAAAGCTATTTATCAAATAGGTCATACATTATTTACATTGAAAATAAGGCAGGTACAAAATAAATTGTTAAAAGGGGGTTCCGCATGGATTGGTATTTGACCCTCTCCTTTTTATACTTTATATACATATATACAAATAGTTTTGATATCACAGGTAGAAGTAAGATTGGTCAATATGATGTTGTATCATAATTGAGTTTTTCAGGTTTGGGTACCATTAGTTCCTCTGCAGTTTTCAATAGTAGACGAACATATTGACCTTTTCGTTGTATTTATTTTATTTCTCTTTGTACTTCTTTAGGACTAGTTAATAATATTTTTTCTATATCACTAATTTCCTTTTGGTTGTCCATTTCAATTTCTTTACCTTCTGGGTTCGAGTGGAAAATGAAACTTTTTGCCCACATTCCATTTTTTGTTCGTATTGGGGGTATGTGTTGGATTGGTTTGTATGTTTATTTCTTTGACAGCTTTCCATAATAAGTTATCAGTGATTTGGTCATCTGTGAGCCCTTTTTTTGTTGTAGCAGAAGTGGTTTTCACTGCTTAAAAATAGCTTGCTTTACCCATCTCTAGTAAATCTATTTAATTTCTTTTTGTTCTCTTCAGTTCTCATTTTTTGCCCCCTTTCAATCATTTCTTTTGTTTTGTATTCAAGTCCTTATTTCTTTGGGTAATTATTACCTAGGGTTCTCCTTTGTATTAATAGTGTATTACTCCATGCAGCTTGTTAGATATTAACCATAAAACATTCTGTTTCTCTATCCAAATCTTTCGTTGTCCTAATTGGGATATTTAATTTAATTTTTTCACTAAGTTTAGGACGAAATCTTTCCCAATATATACGTTTGTACGTCAGTGAGGGACTTTATAAAATTTGCTATATTTTTGGAAATAAAAAAGTCCAGGAAGTGGGTATAACAAATTCAGTCAATTATTAGAGTTTTCAGACTGCAAACTTAATTTTTTTGGGATATTAATACCAAAGAGATAATATTTATTTAACGAATTTTACGAAGTATTATTATATAAAAACCTATGCTGGGATCCCAACCGCCCACTACAAAGGGCATGCACAATATTAAAACAAAACCCCTACGGATACACGATGGTCCTATACGAATTTTGTTTTCACAACCCTCATTGTGCAACGCCTACTAGATTATATAGGTGCAGATAGTGATAAATCCCTAAAGGCTTACCTACATCTGGGAACAGCTTTCTTCCCACCGCATTATCAATTATCATTATCACCCAGAGACATGGATATCGTAATAGAGATTATTAAACTACTTTTGTGCCTTGCATGCGTTTATAAATAGATGAGACACTTAATAGCTACTTAGGGTATGAAATAGAAGATAGTATCTTAATAATTACTACTTAAGATCACTGATCCGATTGTAACGGTTTATTATAAAATAAGATGCTTACGGTTATAGAATTGATTTTTATTTTAAACATTATTTGGAAGAATAAAAACATTTTTTAATTTATTATTATATTTAAATTTTTATTAATAATCAAACAATAAATCTACATACTAATAAAAACATTCTATTTTATAAATATCATCATTTTTAGTGTTCTATTCCTTGGTTATATATCTATGTCTATTCCATACTTTGCAAAAAATAAAACTTATGGAATTACCTCTGTGTCTATCTGTCAGTCTCTTTCACGTTGTTTACTTTCCTATCTGTATATAGATATGGAAAGTATAGGAATCATGATTTTTACGTTTTGAGGTCCCCTGAATCCGTTTTGACTAATTTCGTGATGATGCCTGTTTGTGTGCGTATGTCTATGTGTCTGTATTCTCGATAACTCATGAACGGATACAACGAAAAACACAAAATTTTAAACTTAAGTTTTATTACGGCCTGTGGTGAACTGGTTAGATTTTAGGCAGAGTTGGAACATCTGTGGGGGTAATTTTTATATTTTATGGAATATATCTGTTATTTACGTTTGCAGAAAAAAATTCTTTAATTAAAAGATGCTTCTAATAATATTTTCTTCAACTTTTGTCCTATACACAATTTTCCTAAAATAGTCCGTATTCGAGATATTTGAAAAAATGTGCAAAATTCTGATTTTTAAGAAATAAGTTGTTTGCGATATCGATATCTGTAATTTTTGTTTTATACATGATTCTTCTAAAATGGACCGTAATGGAAAAATTGGAGGAAAAGTGTAAAATTTTAATTTTTCAGTATTTTCGTTGGCAATGAATATAGGTATATAAAAAATGTTTCGAATTAGAAGTACGTGGAAAATGTATATATTTAGTTTATCCTCTAAACATTTACAGAGGTGCTACAATAGGTTTTACAAAATAACCGGAAAAACCTGTAATAACTATATAGGAAAGTCACATCAGATTTTTTTTTACTAGAGATTGTTTAAAATTTGAAGCAATTCTAAACATTGTTTCATCTTGATGGCCAGTTGTGATTAAGGACTTATTTTTTAAGTCTTTGGTTAAAGCTAAAACCAGTACAGATCAATTGAAATCGTACCTCTTGAAAAGAATCCATGAAATCAAACGCTAATGAACGTTACATTGCAATATTCACTTACTTGAAGACAAAACTATAGCATAATTTACAAAATATTAAACTAAGTGAGTTGGTTGAAGGTCGAAAGAAGAGTGACTGACAGAACGATTTATACGAACGACTCCGGAGCTTGGTGACTGTTCGAAATCGGAGTGACGAGTGTGGCTAGAACGATGTGGATTGTGGAAATCGAAACAGGCAACTTGTCGGTTCTTGTGTGTAGTACCCTCTATGTTGCAGAATTACATCTCCGAGTGTAATTTTGTTAGAAACATTATTATTTTCTCCATAGAAAGTACTATATTTTAGAGGTTGAAAACCTTAATTTTTTTGCTTTAATAACGTTTGTAGTATCGTATATTTTTTTTTAATATTAATTCCCTTTTGTATATCGATAGTACTTCTAAGCATTCATTGAATAATTGATCCGTTGTTCGAAGATTTACATTTTGTGAATAAAACCGTAAAATACACCCACTTAAGAGAGTCCAAAAACGATTTTGTTTTTCTTTTATCCAATTTAAAGGACTTTTCTGGAAATAAATTCAGTACTTTTGTACAATTTTGGCAGCTTTTTCACTTCCAGTAAAGTTTAAAACATTTAATATCCATTTTTTGTTAGTTTTTAGTAAAATATGCCATAAATTATTTTGCATTCAAAATTTGAAGTACCAACTTATAGTTAAAAAACATTTTTGACTAGCTTTCTAATGATTAGAGGGGTAGTAAATTTTTTGTTCATGTAGTTAGCTCATATGGGGTTGAATTCTGTAATATATCATTTAAGTTCCCCACAATTTCAAGCATATTCGAATATTATCTTTATAGATCATGAGATACAATCATTGTAAGTATTAAAAATACTCAGTCATCACACAAAAAAGCAATAACCACAATAGAATCCCGTTTTACAACAAACCATTATTACGATTAGCAATAAAAGCCTATCTCTATCGCTGCTATCAAATTAGCCTTGCGAAAGCTTCCTAAAATGCCACCCCCAAAACTGTAACGATTTTCCCTTTCCCCGACTTTTTGTCGATGTCGACCAATCCGAGCCGGTCGAACAAAAGCGAAAGGCGGACCGAAACCGATTCGGGCTACTAGATCCACCAGTAGGTAGCAAACAGTTGTCTGTAGTAAGTTGTATCTGACACTTGCCGTCAGTTCAGCCACTGTCATTGCTACACAGTGTGTTTTTTATTGTGTCAGTGTGACCTTCGCGGTATTTTATTTTTTCGAGTTCTAAATTTTTCGGACTTACAGACTTTCGAGATGAACTTGAATCAGTTTTTGGAATGCGATAAACAAGGTAATTTTTTTTCTAGTTTATTTAAAAAAAAATAACCATACTAACGAGGCACAGCATCTCACGTGATCTGGTAAAATAGGAATTTTGATGAAAATAGCCGTTCTTAGTGACTCTTATGACATTTTAAGTATCAGTTCTGTCAATAATAGGTCAGTGACATTGTTTTAGGGTTACTAATGTTCAGTGGCGGCTCGTCGCCTAGTCTACGAGGAGGCTGGTACACCATATACAATACTTAATACAATGTAATAATAGAATACAATGTAATATTTCTGCTTTTTGTATTCTAATAGAAATATATTTGTAAGGATGTATCTTTCAAAAGTAGCCTCCGTAGCCTGCTTGTAGACTAGTGTTAATTTTTACCAATTGAAGATATCAATTTAGTCACGTGGGATATGGATATTGTTGAAGACTGTATTTACTCAAGAACATATTTTTTTTCATTAGATGAGATCCTAATGCTCTTCTGATTAACTTTTAACTTCATTTTTTCGACACCTACATATACAGGGTTTTCCTAAATATAGGAAGAAGATTTTATGTTTGAAAATGATTTGTTTCCGATTAAAGATTTACCCCGTCGGCACGCCTATGGACATTTTGTATAAACGCTAATAGGTCCAAAAGATATTAACAAAATGTAAAAAATAAATTGAAATCGATTTTAAACTTTAATCGAAGCATTATCGGACATAATAATATATTTATTAAACAAAATGGTTTAGTTTGATGACCCCCTAGCACCCCCCTAAGGGGTGTTTATAATAGTGATATAATTAGTTAATAACCAAAACAAGTATTATATTATAAGAATACATATTCGTTTGGGCATGATTTCAAATGAAATTATTACATACAGGATGATTCGTGTAGGAGGAATGACGTCATCGATATTTTTTTTAATCAACACCCCATTTTTCATGTGAAAAGGTAATTACGAGTATGATAATTTTAAAAAACCGACTTCTAAATCGTGCAGATGTTTCAAATTGAGTTTGCTGATTTTTATATAGATCCCATTACCAGATTTTGACCAAATTTATATGGGACCACCCCTGAACAAAAAAAGAATCCTAGAAATCGGAAAAGATTGTAAAGAATTATCACTGAACATACTTGAAAAAAATGAAGAAGTTGATGATTTTCTAATAGGCCTAATTTTTATGGGATCACTCCTTTCTAACAAAAAAAGATTCATTGAAAGTAGACTAGGTCACACGCCGGCACTGCTTATCTGTTCTACAAATAAAAAGTTCCTTAGTTGTATTGGTCATAAGTTTTTATTTTACAAAGCTCTTCAAACGTTTCGAAAACAGTATTTTCTATTTTCTGGTACAGTCAATTTATGAGGGAACAAAAACAAACAATTTAAAAATTTTAAAACAAGCGAAATCCCATCTTTTACTTTTATCTTTTGTTCGAAAAATTATTAAGTAATAAATTTTTATGAAAATTTTTTTTTATCAAATTAACTGAATCAGAAAGAATTTAAATTCTTTGGAAAATATGATTTGAAAACGAAAATCGCACCCAAAGAGAAGTGGTTAAATTAAAAAATATCAATGACATCATTCCTCCTACACGAATCATCCTCTATCTAATAATTTATTCTGCAAAAATTGATAGTATTTAATGGAATTCAAATTTCCATGCCGATTTCAAAAAAAATTATACTGTAATATAAAGGTGTCCCATTAAAAAAAAAAAAATACCACTGACATCTTTACTCACATGTTCATCACCCTGTATATATAATTTTTTATTTAAAATGTGACAAATTGAAATTAAAAATTGGCAATTTTTGGGAATATACTTAATATATAATGTATTTTCAGTATCTCCAAGAATATACGACTTCGGACATATAAAACAGGAACCAGACAGTACTTCGCCTCTTTTAACACCTCCACATACACCGACGTACTGCACGATGTCTCCGCCACTCGTGGCGCTTCCTTACCAAAACTGGTACCGATCAGAACCGCAGATCGAACCATCTTTTTCGCCGGTCCATTCCTACAACGCAGTTTTTATGAACCACTGGTTCCGAAACGCGGCTATCTACCATACGAGGGACCACCACTTTCAAGATATGAACGTGACCAATCGACCACCTGTCGGTCCAAAGACGTTGGGTACCAGCACCAGGCCGAAGAAGCAGTTTATTTGCAAGTACTGCAACAGGCAGTTTACGAAAAGTTATAATTTACTCATACACGAAAGGACGCATACTGATGAGAGACCTTATTCCTGCGATATTTGCGGAAAGGCCTTTAGGAGACAGGACCATTTGAGAGATCATAGGTGAGTTTTAAAGATATGTATATAATGAAATACGCCACTTTATGTACTAAAATTTCTGTGCCTTCCTATTGTGATGTTTGTTTATTTTAAACAAAAGTTTATTTATCAATAATTTATTTAAACACTTATTTATTTTATAACACTACTATTCTAATTTATATATATTTCGAATGTCTTTAAAATGTTCGCTATTTATCTTCACTGTCCATATAATAACTGATACAGCGTTATTCTCCACCAATATTTATGTACCAATTTAAAATTATGGTGAAGGTTCCAGAACGTTCTCGCCAAAAATTAGAAACACTATCACGTTATATTTGGAATAGACTAGAAATAGTATCCCGTTGACTCTGAAATGTTCGCGAAAGTACCTCCGCCTCAAAGGCCAAATAAGACAGAGAGGGACTTGGAGGGTTAGAGCATGACTGAATAATGAAATGGCTAACATAACACTATTATATCAGTATAAATAGTGACAGTACCATTTGAGAGATCATAGATGAATTTTAAAGATATGTATGATCTCTAATGTATGTCCATATTTTTTTCTTCAGTAAATTTTTTGTGGCATCATTGATATTATTTTCAGGTTCTAATCAAATATATTCAGTTTTTGAACATATTAACAATATATAGAAGTTATTAAAATAAACAACTTTTTCAAAAAAAAAAAACTCAAAAATAAAAAAACTTACATTAATTTGTTACAAAATGTATCCAATACGGTCCTATCTAACTTAAATAATGTATAGAACTTTCGTCTAAAAACGTTGATTACATTTACGTCATTGTAAGGACCATTTACAAAACAGTTGTAACGCTAGAACACGTTAAATGTGAAAGAGATACAATGATTGATTTTCCCGCAATGTTGTCCACCCTTTTCTTCGACTTGCTCCCATTTTATCCGCAATCACTCGATAACATTTAGAATGTGTATAAATAAAAAGTTTCTTGGTTTATTCTGTCAAATAGTTTTTATTTTTTACTATCTAATTTTCATTAATTTTTAATAATTTTTATTACTTATTAATTTTTTATTAATCTTTTAAATTTTTATTTATATTTATTTATTTTTAATTATTTTCACTTATTTTTATTAATTTTTTTACCTAAATTTTTTTATGTATTTTTATTTATTATTTAGTTTTATTCCCCCCCCCCCCTCTCCTTAAAATGAGAACATACAAAATCTTGAAATACGTCATTATGTACTACTACAATTCCAATTTTCAAGTTCCTACCTTTAAACAACCGAAAGTCTCATACAAACATTCTCCTCCCGTTTCCCCCCTTAATGTCTATTTATTTATGATGAGTAGGTACAATTATTCCAATTTGCAATTTCCTACCTTTGAAAAAATGGATACCCCAGACAAACTTTTATCCATTTCCTCCCTTGTCCCTTTTCTTCCCTTTTCCCCTTTAAAGCATCCAAAAACCCTAAATCATGCAATTTTTTTATTTTTGATGATTAGCTATAATTCCAATTTTTAATTTCCTATCTTTAAAAAAATCTATACTTCCATACAAACTTTCAACTTCCATTTCTGTCCCTTGTCCCCTTTCTTCCCTTTCCCCCTTTAAAGCTTCCAAAAACCCTAAATCATGCAATTTTTTATTTGAGATGATTAGCTGTAATTCCCATTTTTAAGTTCCTACCTTTAAAAAAATCTATACTTCCATACAAACTTTTAACTTCCATTTCTCTCCCTTAAAATCTATAAATCCCAAAAACCCTGAAACAGGTCATTATTTGTTTGCTCTCAGTAGCTGTATTTCAAATTTTCATATTTTACTACCTACCACTATACAAAAAATCATGTTTTATCCCTTTCAGCTCTGTGAAAAACAAAAACAAATTTATCCCACGAGAACTGTATGTTTTTCCGGGACGAAAAGTAGCATATGTGCTATTCCAGACTATAATCTATCTTTATATCAAATTTCATCCAGATCCATTCAGCCGTTCTGGCGTGATTGAGCAAGAAACATCCATCCATACATCCAAACTTTCACACTGCGTATATGTTTTGGAACCTTTTTACCATCTTCTGGTGCAGTCAATATTTAATAAAATATACGCTGTGAAACAGAAAGATGATGTTTCTATTATTTTATACATTTTAAACTGTTTGTAATCGTCCCCCATATTTTATTAAATATTGACTGCACTAGAAGATGAAAAAATGTTGCGAAACATATGTAGTGCAAAAAAAACCAATGTGACAGAATAAATAAAGGAACTCTTTATTTATATAAAATTCTACTATGGTCAGAAAATAAAAATAGAATCTGTTCTTCTAAACGCACTTCATTTTCAATTTACCGCACTAAACAACTTAAATTCACTTAGTACTTCAGATAACCACGCTACTGAATTCACACATAAAAAACATAAATAGACTTATTTAGTTTAACTTTTAATACACAAGTCTAGTTTCGGTTTAGATTTGTTAATTTTGTATCTTCCTTATTTTGAGTTTTTTGAAAAATATATTTATTTTAACGACTTCTATACATACTTAGGATTCACCATGTATATTTATATGTTTATGTTTGAAATGTATATGTTCTACTAGCCTTTATATCATTATTTTGAGTAAATAAACATCATAGGCGCTGGCATATTGTTACGCTGGTAACTCAATTTATTTCAACTCGACTATATAACATAATATGAAGATATAACATCTATCATAGAACTTCCCTCTCACATCAAGATCATCCACTTATATAGCTGGTTTGAACCTTCTCGGTCCGTCCAGACGTTTCTTGACAAGGAATGACATTTTTATTCGTTCTTTTTCTACAACAGTGACAGGGTGCTGGGTTGCTCCCTCCTCTCTAGTTATTTGGTCCAGGACTTTTTTTAGAAAGAGGGTACTTCAGAAGTGGTCCCATATGAATTTGGTCAAAATCTAATAATGAAGTTCATGAGAAAATCATCAAACTCTTAATTTTTTATGTATTTTCAACAATAATTTTTTATCATGTCGTCTGATTTCTATAATTCTTTTTTATTATTATAAAACGGATACCTCAGGGGTAATTCCGCGTATGATCTATGAGAAAATAAAAAATCTTAATTTTTGAAGTCTATTTTACAAAAAAAAGGTCATTTTATATGTCAAAATTTAAAAATAAAATAAACTTTCGTTTATAGTACTCCATTCTGGCTGTATAATAGCTAAAATATTAAATTTATTTTTAAATAGATGTTATTATCAGGGTGACTAAAGCTTTGAAGTTTTATGCCCATAATTGTTACCCGACCCAGGTAAGAAACGTAATATAAGGATAGGATATAAGGGATAGGGCGGTATGACCCATACCTATTGCTAAGGGCAACAAAATTTAAGGCGCTACAAAAGCGTTTAAAATAGAATATTATGAGTTCAAGGAAATGTAAATGATTTTTTTTATATGACAAAAAAAACTAATTTTAATAATTGGAGTGTAAAATAATAATGAGGGTTGTACTGCAATCATGAAAGAAATTAGTTAAATATAAAAAGATTTTATTTACAGTTTTTCTACTTATTAAAAAATATTTATGATATAACCACAAGAACTATCATCGGTACGATATAAAAATGAATTAGAGGCCTATAATCATAGTAGGTACCTTTTTAGGAAGTGTAGACTAGTCATAGAATGTAGTTGGACTGTGGATGTTTTTATTCAGTAATTCGATAATTTCCAAGAAATATCTAAGATTATTATATGACAAAACAAATAAATTTTACCTATGAAAAATATTAAAAAAAAAATTCACTTAAATCAATCAAAGACAATAATAATGCAAACAAAAATACAGACTGATTTTGTTCAATCCTTGTCAAACCATCGCCTAGTAACGTATTTAAAGCCTAAAAAAAGATTATATAATACTGAAAAGAAGATGAAAAAAAAATTGTATAATAAAAATCATATAGCAGAATTTAAAAATTAAAAAAAGGGTGTTTCCCGGGCTGGTAAATTTGAATTCATTTAATAAAGATATTTTTAGCTCTCATTTAACATATTTGTTTTAATATCTTATCAAATAATTTTGCTAACGGCTGACCAGAAACCTATGACGATTACGTGCGACAAAAAACAGTTAGTCTACTCCCCACCTATGGGGACACCCATGGTTTTATATTTAGTTTAATAATACTTCGAATTTAATCTTTTTCATTCACAAATTAGGCATTTTAACCATTAGCTTCCGGTGGGCGGGGCTCGTATATCTAAGGGGGTAGCGACATAGCCTTCCATCTCCTTCTTACTTACCAAGCCTACCAATTTATGAAAAAATTGTAAGCGTTTTTTTTTAAATATTTTTAAATATTTAAATTTAATCCATTATTCTTGATTTCACATATTGTAGATAAAATACTTCGTATGTCGCAACCCTTTAGACATACCAAACCTTCCCACCGACAGTTTTATTTAAAATGTCTAATTTTAACAAAAAAAAAAACGGGTTTGTCGTTACCAGGGCTGACTAGAGGGGGGAGGGCAGCCGGGACTAATTCCCGGGGCCCGGACTCAAATGGAGACCCGGCAGCGGTATAAGGGGGGCCAGAGGGGGAAGTTTTTGGTTGGGTACCTTTTTTTTTTAGAAAATTCAATTCAAGTAAAGGAGGAAAAGTTTTTGTTTGAAGAGCTTTTTTTAGAGCAATTTAAGTAAAGAGGAGAGAATATTTTTTATAAAATTGTCACGGGACCGATCTAGAGAATTGTCCTGGGGCCCGGCCTGGCTCTCGGCGGCCCTGGTCGTTACTTTTTGACGACATAAGGTTTCATACACACCAAGGACATTAAACTCTTGTGTTATTAGAATTATCAAATAATGAAATGTTATTTCTTTGTTTCAGATACATCCACAGCAAAGAAAAGCCATTCAAATGCAACGAATGCGGCAAGGGCTTCTGTCAATCGCGAACACTTGCCGTCCACAAAATCCTCCACATGGAAGAATCGCCCCACAAATGCCCCATATGCACGAAATCATTCAACCAAAGATCTAACCTCAAAACCCACATGTTAACCCATACTGATCGACCTGCGGAATGCATGTTGTGTTCACAATTTTTCGTCAATTTTGCGGAATTAAAGAACCACGAGATGACGCATTGTCACGGGAAGTCTTATGACATGCAGATTCCTAGTTTAGTAGCCGCAACATCAGCCGGACTTGATTTAACTAAGAAGAAAGTTGGTCATGGAGAGGAAGATGGAGTCAAACCTACCAGTATTAAATTAGGATTTTCTATCGATGATATTATGAAAAGATAAGTTGATTGAATGAGTTTTAATTTTAATGGAAAAGAGCGTACATGCTTGTTTACAATACAAAATAGCAATATATTTTTGGTTTTTGGAAAATTGGTCTAAAGAAAATAAATCTAATATCGATTGATCTAAATTATATTTGTCCTAAAAATAATTTATTCTAATTATTATAAATAAAATATATATTTATTATTATTATTATCAAAAAAATGAAAAAACGCAAACAAAATTGACTTGACGTATTTTTAAAATTGAAAGACAGTAATTGAAACAGCAAATATTAAAAATTTAAAAGCAGTTCCGGTTTTAGTTAAAAAGTGGCCACTAATGCAAATAACTTAATTCTTTCTTAATAGTTCTTATTTGTTCTTTTCATACTATTGATAGAAAATAAATTAACTAAACCCTTCACGATACAAGAGTCCAATGCAGACGCTATAATCGATTGAGAAGTTTGTACAGGGTGTCCTAAATTAGTATGTTTTGCAGAGTATCCCGAAAATTAATGGAGTCAAGATATTGTTTTTGTTAAAGTAACGATTGCCTAATCATATCTTCATTTATTAAGAAATTAATATTAAAAAACTTTTCATTGATATATTATGGACGAGGTCAGTGGCGTACAAATAATGTTTAACGCTTCAGGCGTATTTAAAAAATATAAGTTTTTATTAAATTTCCTTAGTAAGATCCCCAAACAATTTTTTTTTCTTAATAAAGTAGTTAAAGAATTTTGTAGTTTTTGATAGTTTTCAGTAATCATAAATAAAGGGAGCTATTGAATTTTGACAAATTTTTTTCTGAATACCCCTTCAAAACAAATTTGGGTACACACTGTACAGAGACTTTTTGTTTCAACCTTTTTCAGTTCCCGGGATAATTGTGATCTTTTTAGTGTACATATTTTGACTTATATCTGTATACAGATAAGGAAAGTATAGGAATCATCGAGTTTTCGACGGATTTTTACGTTTTGGATTCCTCTGAATCCATTTTGACTATTTTCTTGATGATGTCTGTGTGTCTAATTACATTTTGGGCATACATCTGGGGGGTACTTTATAGGTTTTCTACTTTATGGAATATATCCGTTGTTTACAATTAAAGATGAAAATTATTCTTATAAAAGTTGCTTGTGATGTCTTTCTCTACAATTTTTGTCCTATACATGATTTTAATAAAATGGACCGTATTCTAAATATTTAACAAAAAGTGTAAATCTTGAATTTTAAAGATAACTTTCTATTTTATAGAATATATCTGCTATTTACACTTAGAAAAGAAAATTCTTCCAATAAAAGTTGCTTGTAATGACATTCTCTATAATAAGTTTCCTATGCATGATTTTTCTAAAATGGACCGTATTCGAAATATTTGCGGAAATGTGCAAATTTCGAATTTTGAAGATAACTCGGAAATAGATAAAGAGAAAGACACCAAATTTTAAACATAAGTTTTAATCCATCCTTTGGTGAACTGATTAAATTTTGGGCATAGTCGGAGCACCTAGGGGGTACTTTATAGGGTGTTGTTTTTTACTTTAAGGAATATCTCTTATATTTACACTTGGAGAAGAAAATCCTTTAAATAAAAGTTGATTGTGATGTCATTTTATATCATTTTTGTTTCGTACATAATTTTCTTAAAATGGTCCGTATTCGAGAAATTTGACAAAAAGTTGTAAAATTAAAATTTTTAAGAACATTTTTTATATAAAAGTTGCTTATAAAATCATTCTCTACAATTTTTGTGCTATACATAATTTCCCTAAAAGCATCTAGAACAGTTGTATTCATCCTTCTTTCGATAGGGATCCGCTTTAAGTACTTTCTAAAGGTCCTCATATTATTTTAGTTTACATATTTTCTAACAAAAGTGCTCATGTTGTTTTAGTTGTTTTAATAAGCTTTGAAAAGTCTCAAGAACAATTTCTTTCTAAAAAGGACTATAGGTCAACCATTTAAATTCCTAATAATAGTGTTTGGGGCTGCACAAAAAAGCTTGGAGGACCGCACAAAACAGCTTGGAGGGCCACAGGTTGAGTATGGTTGATCTAGGGTGTACTTTATAGGATGTTGTTTTTTTTTACTTTAAGAAATATCTCTTATATTTACGGTTGAAGAAGAAAATTCTTCAAATAAAAATTGTTTACTATATCATTCTCTATAATTTGTATTCTATAAATGAGTTCTCTAAAATTGACCGTAATGGAAAAATTGAAGAAAATTGTAAAATTTTAATTTTTCAGTATTTTCAAAAAAATTGTTTCCAGTATGAAGGGTTTGAAAAATGTATGTATTTACAGGAGTGATACAGGACAGGAAAGTCATGTGTTGGATTTTTTCTGCAGCTCTTTCGTTACAAGCAAATTTAAAATTATAGCAATTGGAGTTTGGTGATTGTTATAATAATGGAAACCTTTGAAATACAATACATTTCTCCCTTTTTGGCTCATTAATAAATCCATATTTTACAAACTAAATAATTATGGCTGTTTTTAATTTAAACCAACTTAATCTCGTAATATCTTGCTAAATTTATCCATTGTAAGACTAGACTACTAATTTTTATCAGAATAATCTTTGTTTCTTGATATCTTTTAAATTTTACAGTATTCATTTAGTATTTTTACTATATCTAATATATCATTTCAACACCAGGGGCCTATTATTTCATAACTACTGTCACTTTCCACTTTGCACACAATTTACGACTACAAAATATTTGTGTTTTATAAATTAACTTTGTAGATTATTAATTTTAAATTTTCAAAATTTAACTTCTTAATTAAACAAATTTATCTTCTATAAAACATAAATTTAGTAAAATATGCAGGTATTTTTTATATCAAATTAAAGATTTTTAATATTATTATGTTACAGCGATTGTAATTAGATCAATTGTATTTAGACCAAATGTGTTGTAGATCATCTATGGTTAGACCATTTGATATTAAATTAATTAATTAATTTAGACCAATTATCGACAAACCTATTTTTATCCATCCAACTAGTTGATTTTTTTTAATTTTATTTGAAACTTTGATTTGAGCGCCCTCTTCCCTTAATCTAAACTCTATTTTGTTGCCAAAGATGCTAGCAGTTGTCTACCTCTTGTGAGACTGAAAGGTTATTTAGAGTTACCTTTTCGTTAGATCTCATATATATTATGTTCGTTTTTAAAATGTTTCAATGAAATTATCAAGAGTTATTATATTAATTGTGTACATAATAATTTTAAGTTTTTATAGTTTTAAGAAAGAAAAACATTTTTATTCTTAATCAAAATAAATATTTATTTCCCGACGTGCTTATCTTTTATTTGTTCTGCCATTTAAATTCTCGTATTATAGGTAGGACGGGATATTTACTTGAACGTGTGCGTTAAGTCGATGACGTCAGGAGTACAAGGCGAGGTAACGTTGAACTAAATTCAAACTTATAGTACGGGAATAAATAAAAAAATAAAACAAAAGATTCTATATTTGAATACGATCCATTTATCTAATTTAATTTTATTAAATTCTTTACCTTTACGAAATAATTAAAATTGTTTTTGAACAGCCAAAGTGAAAACAGAGGACCTCGCACTTTCTTTACGTAATTTGTTTCGAAATTTTGGTATTTTGTTGCACTTAATCTAATAACCAAGAGTGTCGAAGGGTCCAACTCAATCCCATGCCTAGTTTACGAGATAGGGAGTGTTAAAAATTACTGGGTATGAATTTTTCTAGATACAAAACGTTAAAGCGAAGAATTGCTTGTTTTAGTTATTTTTTTCTTTAAACTGAAAAGCTATATTGACTTTATGTAGCATTGTAAAAGTTTAATACAAGTTTTGGGTTACTTTTGCACCATACAGGTCATTAAAATTCAATACGATTTTCATATAAAACTGGTTGTAGCGTGTGGAACAATCCTTGTTGGTTTTGTTACAATGAGAAAAGCAAGGACATTTCAAATACAAAATAAAATAGAGGGTGTTCCTTTTAAAAAAACCTAACTTTGATATGTATCACTTTTGGAAAACCCTGTATAATTTAAATAATTTTTAAGTTGTTGTCTTTTTTGTTATTAAATAGTTTTGGCTTTACAGACCGAGGCGTTATCGGTGGCCCACCACCCTGTATAATCACCTACAAAATGTATCGGTATAAACATCATTTTTCGATGTTAGTAACAAGTTTGTGACAAAAAGATGTTAATTCCAAACAAAATTTAGATCCTCATTACTTTCTTGTAGTTTGTCCAGCATTTGTTGTGATTCGCATGGATTTTAAATATTTGTCTTCAAAAACATAATAAATAAATCACCCTGTATATGCCACATCTTATGGTTATGATATATAGTGATAAATATTAGATGAATTCCTTTAACCTCATAATTGAAGGGGGGACTGCAATAACCAGGCAGCTCCATTTTTACAAATTTAAGAGAAATCAAAAAAACCTAAAAAATTCACGTAGTTCATGTAAATATTGTCAATTCTATGTTTTAATAAATAAACAAAAAAATGGAGCTGCCTATTTTTGCCAAAAATATACAAAAAAAATAGATTTGCCTTATTTGGATACAAAAAGTAAAGAAACTAAATAAAATGTCCTTATTATATTATAAAAAAAAACTAACAAATGGAATATGAAAATACAAAAAAAGCAACTTATATTCTTCTTAGTTTATTAATATTCATCTTCTGTATCTCTGCAACTCCATAACATTAAATAGCTTATCCTTTTTTAAAGGCAATGGGGCATTATAAATCTTATTTTGTACTTCTGGAAAAATCGGTACACAAGATTTCTTCAGCTCCAGGAGCTGCCCGGTTCTTGCAGCAAACCGAAAGCAAGGCAGCTCCAAAAAACGTTACAATTTATGTAGTAGTATATGGAGACCGATCAGCCTATTTTTTTTAAAGCGTTTTTCAGTAAAAATCTGATTTTTGTAAAAAAAGTGGAGCTGCCTGGTTATTGCAGCCACCCCTTCAATTGTGAACAGAGTTGCCAAGTATTTTGATATGTTGAAGATATACCAAATTTTTAAATTAATAGTAAATGATTATATATTTATTTAAATAAAAATAATAGATTTGTTTTTTAATGTTTTTTTCGTCTTGATTAGTTAAAATAACTCAATCTACAGGCTGTCCCATAAAGTTGTATTCAAATGAAAAAAAGTTTATATTAAATTTCGCAAAAAAATACATACATATATAAAAATGGTATACAGGAAAATGAAAAATAATTATTTATAATGAAGAAACAAAGGACCTTTATGTAAAGTCGCGACCGGTCAAGTTTTCTGAAACTTTTGGTATATTATACTCAACCTAGTAACCAATTGTGTCAATACAACTCTATGCTATGGATAGTTTTTGAGATACGGGGTGTTAAAATTTAAAAAATTGCTGTTTTTCGGTATTATTTTTATTTTTATAAAAATTACAGGGTGATTTACAAATGTATAACGGTAGTTTTTTTTTTGCAAAATTCTACTGTGACGTAAGAGAAGCATATTTTCAAAAAGTACTATACAGGGTGGCCACTTTTTCATTGAAATGTATTGCTATCTCGTAAACCGTTGGTAACACAAAGTTGGTTAAATGGGGAAAAAGTTGCATATTTCGAAGTCCAATCTGAGGGCGTTTTGAAAACTAAAATATCAGGTCCGGTTTCCGAGATATTCGATAAAAAACAAATAAGTACCATTTCTTTATTCCGCTACAGAACGTTTATTTGCAAAAATAGACAAAAACTCATTTGGAGTTTTTTGTTTTATATCAAATTGTGCGTATGATAGCGTATTTAGTTTTTTTATCCGACGTTTCGTAAATGCAGGACCACCATCAACTTCTTTATTTGAATATGGACCAATATTTTCTTGACTCATAATTTTAATGCATGTTCAATGTTGAATACAATGATGTAATAACATATTGTGATTAGTCAACATTTCGGAAGATTTGAACATCATCAGGTAAGTTTACAAGTACGGACCTGTGTTTTGTTAGTTAAAAATATTTGAATTAGTAAATGATGTATTATCGTTGTAAGAGATTATAAATAATAAATACCAAAGTCAAACTTTTAACTTTACATCAAGACAACATGTTCGTTTACACATTTGCTAAAAAATATTTTCCATTTTTATGGTTTTTGCACTTGACCAATCCCAATATTAATCTATAAATAAAGTACATCCCGATTTTTAAATACATAAAGTTAGCCTGATTTGTCATATTTTGTTGGATTTTTTAAACTGATATGGTTCCTCATAGTATAAAAAAGAAAAAGTTAACAAACTGCAGATAGATACCTACTTACAATAATAATTGTATATCTAGCAATACGTCTTGATTATTATACAGATAAATTTAAATCAAGTTAACCTGGCATGTCACATTTTATTATTGTATATTTGACAGTCTGGTATCGGATAAAAGCATTGGTATATTTTTAATTAGGGTATTGAAAATATGGTTCGTTACAGTAGAAGTGAGAAAAAAGATATGTACGATGTGTACATAAAATGTAACAGAAATAGTGGAGAAGCTGCAGAAAGATACCTTCAGTTGTATCCAGGAAGGAGACAACCATCTTTATTAATTTATTATAGGATAGCGTTAAATATGGCTCAAGAAGGAAATATTGAAAAAAAACGTGGTAAATATTTAAAACGTAATACAATAAATGTTTTGTCTCAAGTTTATATCAACCCTGAAACGTCGTCTAGAGCAATAAGCCGAGAATGTGGAGTTTCTGCAAGTACTGTGAAAAACATTCTTAAAAAACATAAGTACCATGATTACAAATTCCAAACTGTACAAAAGCTACATCCTGGAGATTATAATCGTAGAATAGAATTTTGCCGTTGGTATAAACGAAAATTAAATAATGATGTATCCTTTCATGGACGAATTTTATGGACAGATGAATCGACATTTACTAATAGTGGAATATTTAATAGAAAAAATAAACATTTTTATGCCACCGACAATCCACATTTAATTCAAGAAGTAAGACCCCAAATTAGATTTTCAATAAACTTATGGTGTGGAATACTCAATAATAAAATAATTGGTCCTATTTTTATTGACGGAAACCTCAACCAACACAACTATTTACAATTGCTAGAAGATATGTTAGATAATCTTCCTTTAGGTGATCGAAGAAATATTTATTTTATGCAAGATGGCTGTGGGCCACATAATGCTGCATTAATCAGAAATTATTTAAACGAAAGATTTCCCAGGAGGTGGTTTGGTACACATGGACCTGACCTATTCGATGGCCCCCTAGGTCACCCTGCTTAAATCCTATGGATTATTTTGTATGGGGATATATCAAAAATAAAGTATATTATGATGGTATTCCAAATGACTTAAATCAATTACGAGATAGGATAATTAATGCGTTTAATAATATCACTCCACAAATGGTTTCTGCCAGCATA